CATTATCTCTTATTTCCGTGCAATATCATCCTATAAACCACACCCCACCACACCCCATTACAACACACACAAAATAAACCAAACAACACACCACATTACGACACACCACACGACACACAACACACCATTTGTCATGGCCTTCACTGATATGAGCAATTAAGAATTTTCCATTTCATTCCGCTTACACCTGATGATGCCTGCCTCGCTGAAATCTATCTATCCATCCATCCATCCATCCATCAACCCACCCATTCATCCATCCATCCATCCATCAACCCACCCACCCATTCATCCATCCATCCATCCATTCATCCATCCATCCATCCATCCATCCATCCAACATAACATTCACCTCCATGTTCATCATTTAATAGCACGCTCGTTATCTGGCACTTCACGCATTCAGATGAATTTTTCGTTTATTTATGTTCTCGTTATCACTTTTCACTCATTCCATTCCACAACAACATGTTTCAATATCAACTTTAACAATCATGTGCTGGCATTCGGCGGTCTGCTTGTTCATTTTTAACGGCTGTTCATCGGTGATAACTTAATTAATTAATTAGTTAAATAATCCGATGTTCCATGTATTTTGTATGCTTTCTTCTATTCATTCATTCATTCATTCATTCATTCGTTCATTCATTCATTCATTCATTCATTCATTCATTCATTTTTCATTCATTCATTTTTCATTTGTACGTCAGGCACTCATCCACACATCTATTCATCCCTCCATCCGTCCGTCCATCCATTCATCCATCTGTCCATCCATCCATCCATCCGTCCGTCCGTTCATCCATCTATCCGCATTCATTTTTCCCGTGTTCGTTGACACAGTCGTTTAGTTATTTCAAATTTACTTGAAAACCTCATGCAAAAACAGCTAGGAATAGAAAAAAACTTATTAAAACTTAGAAGCCGACAAATGTTGTCCTGTAGTTCGTTCGAGAAGGCAAATTAGCAGAATGTAGCAGAATGTTTGAAATCAAAAATTAATTAGTTTTTCTAAATCGTCGTTTGACAGCAACTCCCATGAACGAAGGATGGAATGAGCATGAATTCTGAATAAATGAAGAAGAAAAAAAATGTGCAGACACACTCGACAGCTGCTGAAATAGTAAAATGCATTAAAAAAGCAGCATTTAATAAACAGAGACGCCTGGATAGGAAGTGAAGAACGAACGAAGTGAACCACGGTTCGTCTCAGGCGCGTGTTCGTCAGCTCTTCCGGTTAATGAAGAAATCTCAAAACCCTGCGGACCCAACTGACCCAACTCTGGTCTGAAACTGTTTTAGTTATTAATTATATATAGTTTTATTATTTCAATTTATTTTATGCTTCAAGGCATATTAAATATGATATAATACTGATCACTCTTCAGTATGATTCACATGAATGACATCAGGCAAAAAAAAAAAATAAGCACGCTGTAATATGCAAATCCAAGAAATAATAAATAATTAAAAAATAAATTATAATTACAATAAGTAAAATTTTTAGAAAATAAATAAAATGTATGAGTTCAAAATGTGTGCTATTCATCCATTGATAAGCAATTACATCAACCTATAAGTTTTTTATGGCATGACAAAAGTGAAAATAAAGAAAGTGAAAGATGTTGAATGGGAAAGGTTGATGGGAGGTGCAGCTGGAAAGTTTCCGTGAGTACGAGTTGAGGTGTTACAAAATGACGATATAGTTTTCAAAAGCCAGATTTTTTTTCATCAATCAAAAACTTCGCCGACCCATTTGCTTGAGCAGAAGTTAGAACTTTTTTCGTGGTAGACCATTCAAGTAACAATTACAAAACAAGAAAAAGAAACTCCATTTGAGCGATTATTAAAGCTTTCAAATGAAAATAGATAAACGGTAGGAGTCAAAACCACATTATTTAACATAGGCACAAAATTGAAATAAATTAAATGGAAGTAAGAACTTAACAATAAAAATATACGTCTTATTTCAAGCTTCATTAATTTTTATCAGTCAATTAAATTGGAGTTCTACATCAGAACACATCAAAATATTTCAAACTCGAACACAACATCACGAGATCACACAGCACAACTGCCATGATATCACAGCAACAGCAGACGTTAATGTAGGCACGTGAATCTCCATTCCAAAGTCTCAACATTTGGTAGTCTTCTGTTTTGTGCTGGCCTCGCGCGTCCACGTGCGTGTGGCCAGTCTGCTTAACGAAGTCTGATGCATGTGACGCATGGATGTCCTTGCTCATGTTCAGTTCATTACGGCAGACAATCATGGACGTCTTGGAACTTATTACGTCGTATCGCCTGGCTGGATGGAAGATGGAAGGTTGCGATGGAATTATCTGTACAACTCGAAAAAACTGTTATTTAATAAAAAAAAACATTTTCTATGATATATACAGACATATGCAAACATGTCTACACAAACACATAAAACATGCAATCATTAACTAACCAATGGAAATACTGTTTACATACATGAGTATGTGGGTATCAAAGCAACAAACGTCTGTCAGGCATGCATTCCGGCATAAAATCACCAACATATAAACGAAAACAAGTATTGTTATTGACACACACATACACACACACACACACACACACACACACACACACACACACACACACACAACATACACACAACACACTCACACTCATCTATCTGGCTATGGAAATTTTATTGATACTTGGTCATGCGTTGTTATCGCTAATTTCATTCCTTATTACATTTTTATTGCATTTCGCGAGTACCCCAAATTATGTTCTTCCCTGCAAACTTTAACCAAACAAGTTCATTTGTATATATGCTATATTGTATTGGTTAAACCGAATTGCTGGCAATTTAAAGTTTGTCTTTTCAACTTTCCTTAATAGGATTTTTTGGAAATTGTCCAATTTATTGAAAATTGAAATATTATACAAATTCCTTAGGCAAAGTTATTAAAAGTAGAACTTATTATCCAAATTTGTCCTGCCGCTTTCTTTACACTTTTCACAAATCATCTTCAGTGTAGCTTTAGTTTAAATTGCATCTTCTTAGACAAGGGAAGTTTTTCGAATATTGATGCACTGCACGGACTACAAGCCACATCGTGAATGGCCACGATGACAGACTACAAAGAGGATTGAAAAAAAATAGGAGAGGATAAAAGAAATAAAAACGAATTGAAAGTGAAACTTGATGATGAATTGAAACTCATCGTACGTCAAAATTGAAAAGCTCAGTTGAAAATTGAATGCCTGCAATGCTGTGATATTTCTAAACAACTGCATATTATACTATAAATTATATATTAATATATACACATAAATATATGCGTGTGTGTGTGTGTGCATGTTTCATTACCATGATGACAGGGTAGGTAGAGGCAAGTTAATGATTCTCTCATTTCATCATCTGCCCACACCACCAACACTCATAACCGACATTTTAAATATTTAAATTCCAATTCTTCAAATCTTGGTTACCATTTGTTTTTGACACATGCAATGATGTATGGATGAATAAATAAATGCATTTATAATACATTACGTTCCCTGTCCTACACCATACGCTCATTGCAGAGTTTACATTATTATTATTATTATTACTATTATTATTATTTGATAGGATGCTGGCGGAGTCAGGTTCGGTGAAACGGTCACTCAAATTGCTGGAAGAGACAAGAATTGCATCCAGCCTCGACCATGTGTTTAATCTCCAATACCAAGGTTTGTTAATTAAAGCAATAAATGAGCACATTTCCCCATCACAAACGCGTTGGTCGCAGATCGTCGAAGGATTACCGGGTGTGCTCTTCAAGTTTACTAGAAAGTATTTAATACAACAGCTTCCCACTAATGCAAACTAAGTTAAATGGGGTAAGTTAACAACATTTGCATCTCAAGCACTTGTTGATCAAAGAGCATGAGAGGATTGTACAAATGTCGTAACGAGCAACACCCCACATAGTATTGTCAACGTTAATTAGCAACTGAACCAATCTTAATCTAAAAATATACAATCTAATAACTAAAAACATTAAAAAAATGCAACAACCTCAAATCTCACGGATAACGACGATCTAACACTGTATTTCATTATCACTTACTTGAATTTTTTTATTATCAAGATTTCTGAAAAATGTTAAAGTGTTTAATTGTAAAAAGTATATAAAAATGTAAATAAAAGTAGACAAACACACAAACAAACAAACAGACAAACAGCAAAGGACACAGAGACACGACAGACAGTGACAGACGGCGATCAGCTGAGTTGCACTGCAAAGTCTCCTTCGTTGATACTGAAGAACCTCGTCTGATTCTGCTTCATTTTCAACATCACTCATCAGCCATTAACACCGTGCATCCAAGTGGCAGATGGAATGGCTTATCATCCTATCTGACAGTTAATAGTGTTAACAATTTTTTGAATCAGGATCTCGCGAAACAAAACTCCTACTAAGCAGTGCGATGGTGCAAGATGGGCCACCGAAATTCATAAACAGAAATATTGAAGGATGTTTAACTTTGTAAACAGATGATCAAACAAACGAACAAACAAAGAAGCAAACCAACAAAAAACAAAAAAACAAACAAACGAACGAACGATCGAAAAAGCAAACAAACAATTAGAGAATGGAACAAACAATTCAGAAAAGTGCCAATTCGCCTCGTAAATATTTCATGGCTTCGTTGAAGCTTTTCAATCCTGCAGAAAAATCCCAGAGGTCCAGTAAGATCTTTATGTTAATGGACATCATCGACTCCCCACCAGATGCATTTTAATTCTCGTTTTTCGAGTTCTTGTTCATCATCGTGTTTGCTTCTCCATGTTGTTCATGTTTTTAAATGTTGTTTTTCATCTTGTTTGTTATGTTCAAGTTCGCCATGTTTGTCATGTTCATGTTTTTCCGTGTTCTTTCATTTTCTCTATGTCCTAGTTCTTTATGCTTTTCTTTATCATGTTCTTCATGATCAGGTTCTTCATGTTTATGTTCTTCATGTTCATGTTTTTCAAGTTCATGATCTTGGGGATCATTTCCTTCCATTCCTTGTTCTTCGTGTTGTTCTTCATTTGAAGATCGTAGTTTTATATTTCTCTTAATTAAAAAATTAAGAAGCAATGCTACTAACACACTCCATTAGTTTAATAATATTAATAGATTTTACAAATTATTGTACCAAGATGTCAACAGGTCAGCAAGTCAACAGGTCAGCAGGTGGTGTCGGTGGAAATGATGACGGGTCATGATGAGGTCATTGTTATTCCGTCACTACATTAATCATCACAATCATTACCACGGTTGGTAATAATATTATTCATCATCACTACAATCAACACAACTGTGACAGGCGGGAATCTTTTTGTATTTGAAGCCAGTCACTTAAACATCAGAAACAAGCGCCTCAACCACTACACCATCTTGCTCTTCTTTTTAATTGTGTGTGTGTGTGTGTGTGTGTGTGTGTGTAGCGTGTAGTATCATATTCTAGCATCATATTCTTCTTTGTCACTATTTACGA